CAGAACCTGAGCATTCATCACTGGACCTCCGCTAACTAGATGGCAGAAAACTACAGATCGCGTATTGCGCGTCAAGTTGACGTCTTTCTCTAACGAAAAGATCTCCATCACGCTTTGTGCGAAGCTTACCGCTACTTACCCCAAGACCCTGCCCGAACTTTCACTGGAGGACTGTGGCAGCCTTAGGAAAAGCACGTGGGACAGGCTCTATGGCCTGCTCAAGTCTCGACCTCGTGAACTGCTAGGCGAGGTGATGATCTACGATATTGCGACGGCCATTCAAGAGATACTAGAGGACGAGATCGCTGTCCGCGAGACGGACGGTACCTACGAGAATCTGGATGCCGAGCGTGCAGTACAGGAAGCCGCTGCTGTCGAACATCTAAAGCAACAGGAAGAAGAGTTACAGAAGAAGCGTGACGAAGAGAAGGCTGAGGAGGAGCGTCTTTTGCAGCAGATGGTGGGTGACGAAATGCGCCGAAAAGATATGTTGGCAAAGCGCAAGAAGCACCGTGTATCCGCCAATACTCCGCCTTCGTACTTTCCCAGCGCCGAGAACAACAACTACATTTCATTCGACAGGACGATCGTTATCCAGCACGAAGACACGACCATCCAATGCAGTGGCGTTGAGAATCCGCTTCCTTTGCGTTCTGGCCCTTTGACCGAACAGCTGTTGGTAAAACCGGCCGGAAGCACGGCAACGCTTACATTAGTACTAAAACGTGCTCGGGTGGGCGGCGGAAACGCTGCTGCTGGCCCACAGCTGAAAAAGGCCGTCATGGAATTCGAAGACGAAATGGAAGAGATCAAGCGACTGCGACAAGGAGCCATCATGGCGGTGCTGGAGTTCAAAGTAGAGCATCTACCCGATTCCGGATGGGAAATTAGCATCCTCATGGATTACGCCGACAAAGGATCTTTAGGCGAGCGGCTTGCCGACGATGGACCCCTACCAGTCGCAAGAGTTCGTTCCTGGACCATCGAGCTTCTAGAAGCACTGGACTTCTACCACCGCAATGGTATAGTCCATAAGCGCATTCACCCTCACAACATCTTGTTCAAGAGATCGCCCGGTGGTGGAATCACAGTATTGCTAGCCGACGCCAGCTTTCAGGGCTCTCTTTATCATCTGCGAAGCTTATGTTGGGATGAACAGCCGATGAAAATTGTAAGATCGTTCTACTGGATAGCGCCCGAGCTGTCTCAGGATGCGCGTCACACCCGCAAGACGGATGTATGGGATCTCGGCGTCACGTTCCTCCAGATGCTCTTCGGCCTCGATGTGCCTGAAAAGTACAATTCGCCCAAAGAACTGTCCGATATTCTTGGCTGCTCCGAACCGTTACAAGAAGTTCTGCGCAAGTTTTTCAAGCCCGACCCCAAGAAACGATCCTCAGCCTTTGACCTCATCCCATGTGAGTTCTTGCGCGACGATGTAGACGTATACGAGCGACCCTCCACACCCGTACGTTCGAGGAACTCTTCAACTTCATTAGGTCGGTATAGGCTGCGACGAGAGTCTTCCTCTGGTGTTGTTCCGTCATACTCACGATACGCGAATGACTGGGCCGAACAAGGTCGCTTGGGCAAGGGCGGGTACGGCGAAGTCGTAAAGGCCCGCAACAAAGTCGACGGTCGTCTTTATGCTATCAAGAAAATCAAGCAGAAGTCTGCTGCAGCGTTAAGCGAGGTTCTTTCCGAAGTCATGCTGCTTTCGCGGCTCAACCACAGCTGTGTGGTACGTTATTACACCGCCTGGCCAGAGGCTGAAGCGGATGATTATTATGACTCGGCAACATCAGACGGCGACGAGTCTGACTGGGAATCGGACGTTTCTCCAGGCACAACTACGACTGATGGTGGCGCTCACGGAAGAAGCACTGGTGGTTTAGACTTCATTAGCTCCAGTGGATATCCCAAGATCGAATTTGGGTCTGACGCAGAATCAGAAGATGACGTCGGTGCAGTAATCTTTGGCTCCGACTCAGGTAAGCACACAATGACATGGAGCGTCATGTATACAACAAGCTGACTGTTGGCAGAAGATGAGGCAAGCATAGGGCCGCTCTCGCCAGTCAAGAAACGCGCCATGTCTGACTCAACACCTGCAAAGCCCTCGAGGTCAATCTTGTACATTCAAATGGAGTTTTGCGAGAAGCAGACACTCCGAGATTTGATACGTACCGGACTTTATGACGATCCAGACGAATACTGGAGATTGTTTCGGCAAATTCTCGAAGGGCTCGCTCACATTCATGGCCACGGTATCATTCATCGTGACCTTAAACCTGACAACGTCTTCATCGATATGGCCAAGGTGCCTAAGATTGGTGATTTTGGACTAGCCACCAGTGGCCAGTATCAGAGACCTGATACAAAGTCCCCCAACGGTACCCAGGATGGCGGCGACATGACGCGGAGTGTCGGTACCGCGCTTTACGTTGCTCCTGAGCTCAGCTCGACCGTTATCGGCGACTACAACAACAAGGTGGATATGTACTCCATGGGCATCATCTTCTTCGAGATGTGTTTTCCTCTAAGGACCGCCATGGAGCGCGACAAAGTCATTCGATCGTTGCGGGAGCGGAAACATGATCTTCCAGAAGAGTTTGAGACACCGGAAAAGTCGTTGCAGGGTAGCATCATCAAGTCACTCATCAGCCATCGCCCTTCAGAGAGACCTGGATGTACGGAGCTTCTGAGAAGCGGCAAGGTGCCTGCTCAGATGGAGGACGAGGCCGTCAAAGAAGCGCTCAAGGCCCTCTCGGATCGAAACTCACCACACTACGCAAAGATGATGGCTGCTCTATTCTCACAAAAGCCCGATACGCAAGCAAAAGACCATGCTTGGGATCTGAGCGCGACCACTCAGAAGATCAAGGCCAATGATGTGCTTCTACAGAATCTCGTGAGGGACAGATTGGCCATGGTCTTTCGGAGCCATGGCGCTGTAGAGATACAACGTCAAGTTCTACTACCCTGGTCCGACCATTATGCGGACACGAAAGTTGTCAAGCTTTTCGACCCCTCTGGAACCCTGGTGCAGCTACCTTACGATCTGACATTGCCGTACGCACGTAGTATTGGTAGAGGTGGAGCGTTTCTAGAGAAGACTTTTACGATTGGTCATGTCTATCGTGACGACTACACCGGAAGTGCTCCACGTAGTAACGGCGAGGCAGACTTTGATATATTGTCATACGATACGCTTGACCTTACTTTGAAGGAGGCAGAGGTTCTCAAGGTCGTCGATGAAATCATTGATGAGTTCCCTTCATTTAGATCAACGCAGATGTGCTTCCACTTGAATCACGCCGATCTGTTAGACATGATCATGGAATTCTGCAGAATCAGTGTCCCAAAGCGCGCGGCAGTCAAAGCAGTCCTTAGTAAGCTGAACATCGGAAAGAACAACTGGCAGTTGATACGCAACGAATTACGGTCCTCCGACATTGGTATTCCATCAACATCGTTAGATGATCTGGCACGCTTCGACTGGCGCGACACCCCAGAAAAGGCTTTTGCGAAGCTGCGGCGACTATTTGAAGGCACCAAGTACCTTGATCGGACTCACGTCGTCTTTGCACACCTAACCTCTGTTATCAATTACATGAAGCTGTGGGGCGTGAAGCGCAAGGTCTACATCAGTGTACTGAGTAGCTTCAATGAGAAGTTCTATTCTGGTGGCATTCTCTTCCAATGCCTGTTCGACACAAAGCAGAGGGAGGTGCTTGCTGCAGGTGGCCGGTACGATAAGCTGATCGAAGAATATCGTCCGAGAGGCTCGAGTCACGCACATCCAGCGGCTGCCTACCACGCTGTTGGTGTAAACCTGGGGTGGGACAGACTCGTAAACTCCATGAGCCGATACATCAAGAAGCCTGAGAAGTCGACGTTCTTGCGAAAGCATGCTGAAGAAGACACGCCATCAATCTCCTGGATGCCACGACGCTGCGACTGTCTAGTCGCTAGTTTTGATCCGAACGTTCTCCGTTCCACTGGCATCAAGATGGTAGCAGATCTCATCGCCCATGGCTATACCGCCGAACTCGCCGTCGATGCGCACTCCATCGAAGACATTTTACGTCACTACCGCGAAGACAGACATAGCTGGGTTATCGTGATCAAACACGGGGTCGCACCTGACAAGCCTGAGCTTAAGGTCAAGTCCATCGCAAAGAAAGAAGACACAGATTTGCGGAGCACCGATCTTCTGAACTACCTCCGCAACGAGCTCCGAGACCGCGAAGAACGCGAAGGAAGCGCAGCCCGCCTCATCAAGGCTCCGCCACCAACCTCAAGCAACACTTCCAACGCGTCAAAAGCGAACGTCGACGTCCTCATCGCCCAGCACCGATCCAAGAAGAGCAACAAATGGTCTATCGTTGAGGCCGCGCAGTCAAGGTCAGCAGATTTACTTTCCGCTTTCCAATCCGCGCCCATTGCGGCCATCGAGTCAAAAGAAGAGGTCATGAACTTGCTCAAGGAGACGCGTCTCAGCGATCCGGACTCGTGGCGTTACTTCATACAAAAGATGCCGCTTGCTGAGAGGAAATACCTGCAAGAGCTGCACGACTTACTGCTGGGTTATAGAGCGAAGTGGATAGAGAACAAGGGCGAAGGTGGCAATAATGGAGAAGGAGCTGTAGGAAAGGCTTTCGTGTACAATTTCAGGACTGGGGGGTGCTTGCTGTATGATTTGGAGAGTTGAGAGACATGACTACTAAGAAGCTCGCGTCTTTTAGTACCTATCACTCAAGACGTATCCCTATGGTATACGTAGTAGCTGAATTCAAGATCTAAACCTCGACATTGGCTCTAGCATTGAAGAAAGCTTTCATCAGCACGACGACTAACCGGTCTTCTCTATGTGCCCACGCAATGGCTGGATCGCGGCGTCGCGTTGCGTTATCGCCACATCCGCCCTTTTCGCAGCATCCTTCCACCAGACAGCCTCACGTTGCCGCTCACCCGCCACCGTCTCCCACGAGATCGCCTCAATCCTCCGTTGTTCCTCCATCCCGCCGGACTCTATGAAAATTTTTAGAGTCGTCCAAACTGCCTTCCGCCTCATCAATATCCTGAGAAGCCCTGAACAGCCTAAGGGCGTCAGCATCATGAGTGCTCGCCAACCATGTCTTGATATCAGCGCACATCTTGGAAACCGCGGCACCGTGGTTGAGGTACCTGTAGAGATGATCGGTGTTGACACCGGTCTTCTCCAAAGCCTCCGCAACACGATTCCACGACCCGGCAGCTGCCCACAGACTGACAACCTCCTTTGTGAGCTCCTGGTTATCTGCTTGCGTCGTCTCAGGCTGCGCTGCCGTATCTTCCGCTTTATCGCTGAGCTTGCCATGCGCTGCCTCTAGTCCTCCTTGGCCGCCCTTCCCACGGTCACTCTCCTCCAGGTGCTCGGACCTGTCGGCCGAATTCCCATGGTTTTGCTTCAGCTGCTCAAGCTCTGAAACAAACCCCCCGTTGCCGTCTTTACCATGGTACTTTTCCGACAGGTCGTTGTACCTGCCGGTCGAGTCCGCATGGTTTTGCTTCAGCCGCTCAAGCTCTGAAACAAGCCCTCCTCTGCCGTCTCCCCCGTCATACATCTCTTTCAGCTCGTTGAGTTTCTTCTCGAGAGCTTCGTACTTGAACACCAGCCCCCCTTTCCCATCCTCCCTTTCATGCTCGGCTTTGAGGTTCTTGAACCTTAAAGCCAACTCGTCATATCTCTGCTCCATGGTTTCCCCTGGTTGCAGTCCATACTTCTCCTTCTCTCCCTTTAGCTCTGCTGCCGGCTCATTCGACCTGCGGACTTGTGCCTCGAATTCGACAAATTCGAAAAATAGCTTGCGGAACGCCTCGGCATCGCTTGCTCCGTGTCTGTTTAGAGGATGACGTATACCTCGTGCCGCAAGGAACTCTCGCTTCCTTCGCAATAAGTCCAGCTTTGCACGCGCAGCAGCCAATTTATCCTGCATCTCGAAATCGAACGTTTTCGTCTCCATCGCACGAAACACCTGCAGTTGGACGCCTTGCACCATGGCGCGGGGTGGTGTGGTGTGCTGCTGCCGCTCATCATCACCGAATGGAGTCGTCACTTCGGGGTTGACTTCGGCCCTCATGATTGAGCTGAAGTCTTGCCGGCGTGCTCCAGGCGGCGGCATCGGCGTCGCAACTTCTCCACCATCTGCTCTCTCCCTATCTTCAACCGCACCTGCATCTGCCACCGAATACCTACATATTGTTAGCAAGAAACAGGAAGGAGCGAAGGTACTCACGCATCCCCATCATCGTCCATCGGTCTCGTCTGCCTTGTTGCTCCACGCAACCTATCCGTAAAGGCGTTCGGATTCGCCATGGTGTAGTTGAGATGGTGAGGTGTGCTGGGGAGAAGTCTATGTAGTCGCACCTGCCGTATGGAAGGCGCTACGCCCGATTCGCTCCACGACGTGACGTGACCACCAACATCACACCATGGGTCAACGGATCACACAACCAGCCGAGGGATAACCACTAATGAAGAGTAACTTCGGATCTTCACGCTTTTTGGTAGCTGTCTTGATCGGATCATAGTCTTCTGGATTAAACTCCGGAGAAAGTTGGAGGCTATAAGCCATGGCATGTGTGTACAGCCAAGCAAAGCGAGCGCCGTTTGTATAACTTCCAGGGTGCCATTGCGAAGGAGATTCGGATAGGTAATCACGGAAATCTTTTTCAGATGCGGTGCCTAGAACAAGGAAGCTTGACGGGCATCCTCGAGGTGCTTTCTACAATAAGATACGTATGGGTGCTTCAAGACTACATAAGCAAAAGGGTGCGCTTGTTGAACAGTAAGTACTTACCTGCTGTGTTGGAAGGCACGGAGCTTGACATGGCCAGCGCTAGAGTGGGGTTGTTGTAGAATGTAAGTAGAAAGCGTTCAGCGCTACAATGTCAAAACATAGCCGGTATTGAGAGCGCCATAGGGTGCACAGCGCCGTGTAAAACTGACGGGAGAAATGTTGATGTAGTGCGATAAGGCCTAACATGCAGCAGCGCTCACCGGAAAGTCATCGCAAGGCAGGGCAGGTGCGATCAATCTCATTGGCGGTATCAGTGGCAGCAGGCGTCACAGCCATGGCAAATGGCAGTCTCGCTAACACGGGGAGCTCCCGACGACCAGCGCATCAGCCCATACGCCAGTAGGTAAGCAATGCACCTATTTCTAGAATCTTCATTTCGAGGACACGCATGTGGCTTCACCGGAAGTTGTGCGCAACGCCGGCGGAAGCTTGTGTGTGAAGGACGCGGGGTCGACGCGTCGTAGCAGTGCGTATCATCGTTTTTTTGTAGCATGGCACTATATCGCGCGTCAGGAACAATTGCGCTCTGCGCTGATAGTACGCGTAGACGTACCCTTCGCACCCCCCGCTGTGTGGGCCTTACTGCTCGATACTTCCGGGTGATGACCGCGGCATCATAGTTGTAATTTCATGGGAACGCGACGAGATCGTGATTCACGAACTCTTGATCGCTATTATGTGGCATTGAAAACGCTTCTTAGATGCTATCAAAATCGACGCGTATCACGCGTCTCCAGCGATGCACGTAATGATGAGCCGCGGAGTCCGGGCGTGGTGGGTCCATTCCCAATTTCGTCTAGACCAAGTACGCAGCTCTCGCATTTCGAGGCAGGCAAGATGATGCCAGCCACCCAGCCTTCCACACATGACGCCATCTCCATCATCATCGTCGCCGCGCATCTCATACAGCGAACTTCGATCTCGCTCTCAGCCTCGCACCATAAACCCAAATCAGATACATTCCGATCTACTTCGAGTTAGCGCGCACTCGCAGACTGGCTTATCCTCTTCGAACTCACAATACCCATGACACTCAGGCCACCCAAAAGACTGATTCCCTTTCCTATTCCCAATTTGAGATACATGGGGCGAGAGAAGAGTACGGATCCGAAAGCGAAGGCAGAGCGACAGAAGTCGTTCCCTGCGAAGAGGGACGCGGCGTATTGCGGGTAAGACATGGGCACGTATGCTGAAAAAATGTTAGCGATATAAACAGTAACCACAGTAGAGGTATAGGCGATAACTTACAAAAGACAGCCTGGAAGATGATGTACACGCTAGTCGAATATATAGCGATACCGATAGTCGAAACAATCCAATGTACAGATTGACGAGCCGTCCAGCCTGCACATCTCGCCATTAGTACCCAATGTCTCAAGTCCAGTCGTGCAATCAGACTTACCAAAGATGAACAATCCAATTGGTACCCCAAAGCTCGCGAAAATCGCCGGCACGAGTCTATGCTCTTGAGGTCTCAGCCCTCTCTTGAGGATATCCGGTATGAGGTAGAACCTCAGATAGGAGAAGTAGATTGTCATAGCAGCAACGCACCCCACGATGATGACCAGAAACACAATGGTCATCTCGCCGACGCTGAATCCATATATCTCCAAGTACACCAAAGGAAAGACCTCGAAGAAGGAGTAGTAGATGCCGTACGTCAGCGCGGAGTAGACGTTGATGAAGAAGAGAGCAGGGTCTTTGACGCAGATCTCCAGAGGTTTGATGAGAGTATCTAGGAGTTCTGCGAAGAACTTGGTGCCCTTGCGATCGATCTCGGTTTGCGTATGGATATTCGGATTGCCAGTCAGTGCACGCAGACGGGCAGATCGGTAGAGAAGAATGGTGGTAGGCTGCGTTTCTGGGAGAAAGAAGAAAAAGAGAAGGAATACTGGGGCGGCCATCCAGAGGAGTTCCCATTGAGACCTAAACACATACGACTAATCAGCATCGACGAAAGAAGAAGGCTAGGTTGATGGAGCAAGAAGACATACCATCGCCAATTCTCAGCATAGACGGAGAAGCCAGATAGAAGAGGCCCTAGAGCTGGTCCAGCGAACGCGGCTGCTGTCCAGAAAGCTAGGCCGTACGGTATATGGAGCAGAGAGTACAAATCCTGCATCGTAGCTCCGCCGTTCGCTAGGCAGGGGCTTCCGAAGAAGCCGAGTAGAAAGCGAAGGAACAGGAAGCCGCCGAGATTGTCTACCAGTGCGGTAGGTAAAGTGAGGATGGTGAAAAGCGCGAAAGTCGTGATGTACGGTATGTTTCTGCCGAGTTGGGGTACTGTGACGGGCTGTCAGCAAGGCCTACGTCCGCGATAACTTCCTCACACGAGACGAGCATCCGATGAAGAAGGATAGGAGAGGATGTCACATACCCTCGCTCAAAGGCGCAAACAACAATGGCCCAATGCCATATCCTACACGCACTGTCAGCTATCCATCCCATCTAATCACCCCTCACAACGCAGGCCAACAACTTACCAAGCACATAAAGCGCCAACCCCAGACTCGCCTTAAACGCGCCCACCCCAAACTGACTCATAACCAGCAACGTACTGCTGACATAAATCGAACTACCCGCATACACGATGAACGTATACAAACAGATCAAGAACGCCGTCCATGTCTTCTTGCCCTGCGACCAGTTCTGCGGGTTCGCAGTGTCGGTTGTGGTGTACCACTCTGCTAGTATGAGGCCGTCGGCTGTCTTGACGGGGGCGATGGCGTGGCTGTTCGATTGGGTGGTGTGGAGGGCTAAGTCGGCTTCGAGGCGAGAGGGGCTGAATGGCAGGGTGTACGACGGGAGGGGTGCTGTTGAGGTTGAGTTGCGGTCGGATGCGTTCACTCCTTCTGCGGTTCTGGAGTGAGGTTTTTCGAGGTCGACTTGAGGAGACTCTGTAGCAGCTGGAGCTGGGCTGGGCTGTCTAATGGCAGTTGCGGAGTTGTCGGAGGTAGCCTGGCTCTGTGAAGCTGACGCACTGGTATCCTTTTCGATATACGCAGATGGGATTTCGAACCCAGGTAACTCTTCTGGATACTTGAAGAAGCGGTTACGCGTCGCGTAACGAACGAGCTGGCCAAAAGGCGCGTCGCGGACGATCTCCTTGATAGCCTCCATGGTTTCCAGATACGCGAACGAGATCTCGCAAAATTCGATACCGTCAAGAAGGCTGCCCAAGCTTTTCCGGTATAACACCCTTCTTATACCTAAACACCTCAGCATCCATTCTAATCACCAAAACATCCCATAAGCGGCTCTGCTCCCCTCCTCCCATCCAGCCGACGCACTGGAAAGCCATCTCCTCAGCCTCCTCCCTAACGACAAATCACCGCTACAGTCAGCAAAAGCCATTATTCACCACCGAGAAAATACTCATACACCAGATCAATATGCATGACGAAAGGCAGATAAGACGCCGGACAAGGCAAGTAAGACCCGAAAGCGGGCGGATAGACAGCCACGTGATTGGTACTGCAGCGAAAGCCACAAAGCCCAACGGCGTAATTTGCACTTTTTGCTGACCGATCAAAACTTATCGATAGAACGCAGTGGCGGGACTGGCTGATAGTAATTATTTGGCTTCTTGCTTCTGTTTACTGATCGGTGGTTGTCGTCGACGTGGTGGTGCGTTTTGTCAGATCCGCCAAGATCCGATATTCGAATGTGGCTGACATGTACATGCTGACGAGCACCGCTTACCCAAGTCACCTTATACAATGGGAAAACCGGACACCTTGGGGTCTACGTTGATCTTGGACCGCTTACTTTGTATGTTTTTATCTTGATGTAGGCTCCAGCCTGATTAGTGGTACACGTCAACTAAGCAAAAGCTGGACAGGCCTGCAGCCTACATCAACACAAAGACCTACAAAATAGGGGACCTGGTGTTGATGTAGGCTCTAGACCTGTTTAGTTTTTTTCTTGTGTGAGGTAGGTACGTCAACGTGTCCATTATAATTATATGCACACTAAGAGCAGGTAACCACCCATAGGCCCTGTCTGGTATACGCCGACAATGAAACAGAAAGGAAATAATGCCTCGCTCATGCAAAACCGTCTTGATCACATGCTTTTTGTTCTCCAACTCCGTCTAAATTTGACTCTCCCCTCTCGTCCCAAGACCCCTCGACCGTACGGCGGAGCTACGACCTTCTATCCGGCAGCTGATGTAGGTATTGACTCGTATGCAGTCTTTGCTGTAAAGGTCAAGGTTTCTAGCTCGCCACTGGTTTCACACATGGAGCGGAATGAACCGCCATCTTTCCGGACAAGATCGTAGGGATGGCCGTACTCGATGACCTCGCCCTTATCCAGAACAAGGACCTTGTCGTAGTCAATGATCGTTTGGAGACGATGCGCTATCGTGATGGTGGTGTTCTTGATCTGACGAATGGTTTCTTGGATCTTCGCATCGGTGGCGTAGTCGATGGACGCTGTGGCTTCGTCCATCAGCAGAACTTTGGGTGCTTTCAGTAGCGCTCGCGCTAAGCACAAGAGCTGTCGTTGACCTTGCGACAGGTTGGACCCGGATTCCGACACCAGCGAATTGAGGTTCTTGAATGGGTTCTTGTTGTCGGCCTCCATAGCAGCCTGTGCCGCTACATCGTCGCGGTCCGCAGTACGACCATCAGGCATGACCACGACAGTGTCTTCCTGTGTCTCGCCACGCTCCCAGTCGCGGTTCGCCAGAATGGACCCAGGATTTGTGGTAGCGGCTGAGTAGCTGCCGTTGACATCCGCTGTTACAGCGCTTGTTGTCGGAACGGGAATCTGGACGGCGCGAGGTGGGGTGGTCGCTCCAGTAGGAGTGACAGAGCCGGACGCGGGGCGTGATAGAGTAGAGATCAGGTTGACTTCGCGAAGGGCGGTGTAGATCTCTTCATCAGTGAAGATAGAGAAGGGGTCGAGATTGCTTCGGATAGTGCCTGTGAATAGTGTCGGATCTGTGTAGTGTTAGCATCTGTTCTATCCTAATTAGAGATAAAGATGTGCTTACCTTGCGGTACCATGACGACGTTCTCCCGCAGATCGTGCAGGCCGATCGTACCAACATCAATGTCGTCGATCAAGATTTTGCCCTTCTCAGCCTCCAACGCCCGGAACAAGGCAAGTGCCATTGAACTCTTGCCGGCACCCGTTCGGCCTACAACACCGACCTTCTCACCTGGAAGGATCTTGAAGGTCAAGTCCTTCAGGACAAGGTCAAAGTCAGTCCTGTATCGCGTGCTGTAGTTGATGAACTCTACGGATCCCTTGCTCGGCCAGTTGGATGGTGGACGGTTCTCTGAAATGACAGATGGAGCTTCCTGGTCGACATCGAGGTACTCCTTGACACGCTCGACCGAGTTCATATTCTGTTCATTAGCAGAGTAGAGACGAACGAACCACAAGACGTTCTCGGTAAAGGTAACAGCATAGGTAAGCGCGAGACCCGCGGCACCTGCATCAATGTGTCCAACGCTGAGCACAACGAAAGCTCCGGAAAAGAAGGCGACCATGGCACCGACGACGTCTACTCGGAACGCAAGCCACCTGTTAGCCGCCCAGAGATAGATGAACGGACGGTGTTGAGTGTTAATCTTCGCCAAGTTCTCGCGGATGAAGCGGCGTTCGTCACCGTAGGCTCTGATAGTCGTCATGCCGGATAGTGTCTCACCAAACTGTTGATACAGCGGGCTTCGATGTACGGATTCCAATCGCTTCAGGTCGCGGGACGAGTTGATGTAGAAGCGACCGATGAGGAAGTAGAGGATGGAGATGAAGAAGGCCGCTATTAGGAAACCAGGAGTAATGATCGAGATAAGAATGACGATCGTGATGATGGAAGCGAAGCAGTGGACAACACCAATGGCGACTGGCGCTACCTCTTGATCGACAGATTCAATGTCCTTGGAGAACCTGTTCATGAGCTGACCGAGTGGGGTCTGATCGAAGAAGCGGAACTTGGCATGCGTAACCTTTTGAATGAGACGTTCGTGTATGCGTTTTGAAGCAGCGAGAGACCCTCCAAAGAGGAAGCCCTCTCGTAAGAAGGTGATGAACATGAAGATGAGTCCAAGAACGGCGTAAACGCTGAGGAAGTATGCAGAGTTGACGTCCGGGTTCGGGTTACTGAAGGTAGTCTGCATGGTGTTATAGGCATATGACTGCTGCTCCGGTTGTGTAAAGAAGGGAATGTTCCAGCTGCAAGTACCACTGTTCATGCATGTTCCCATGCCACTTATTGTCGGAGCATGCGTTACCGGAGATTGGTGATGGCTGCTCGCCACAGCATAGCCCTTTTCAGCGTACGCGTTCGCCCATGTGCGGATCCAGAGGTTGGTAGATACCGAAGAGATTTGCGCAGCTACAAAAGCAATGGTAGCACCAAGCCAGTAGTACCAGGGGCCCATAGCTCGAAGATACATGGTGATGATGCTCAGCTTGACGCCCCCCTCTGCCTTCTTTTCGTCCTGACTGTTGCTGGCTGGCTTCTTCTTCTTAGCGTCCGGCTTGCCATTTGCGGTGCCATTAGCAGACCCATTGGCATGATTGGCATCGCCGTTTGCCTCTTCACCAGCATCCGAGGGCTCTTGGGAAGGAGGCTTGGACGCTCCTCTTGATGCGGGCCGTGATTTAGTAAGATCCTCGGTAAGCTTTCCTGAGTTGATGACCTCATCTGCTGTACCTTGTGCGACCACTCGGCCGTTCTCAAGTGCAACAGCAAACTCTGCGTGTGGCAAACAGAGGCTGACGTTGTGTGTGACGAGGATGCAAGTTCGGTTAGCCATGAGTCGTCCGTGAAGTGCGTAATGGAAGATCCATTTGGCAGTATGGGCGTCGACAGCGCTCAGAACATCGTCAAGAAGAACGTGACGAGCCTTGCTGTACAACGCACGGGCCAATGAAATACGCTGTTTCTGGCCTCCGGAGAGCGTGACACCCTTCTCTCCCACTATCGTCTCGTCACCAGCATCAAGAATCTCAAGATCTCGCTTCAGAGAGCAGGCTTCGATAACCTCGTCGTAGCGCTTCTGGTCGAAAGGACTTGCGAATATGATGTTGTCCTTGACCGTACCGTTGACGAGCCAAGCTTGCTGAGCGCAATAAGCTATACTGTCAGTGAGACCAGTGTCGGGGTCGGGAGTCAGGTCCTCTCGGCTTAGTCCACCAGGCAAGTAAACACTACCCTTGAGCTTTGTCATTTCACCAAGCAGGCCCATGAGCAATGAAGTCTTTCCAGAGCCAGTGGGTCCAACAACAACGTTGAGCTTGCCGACACGGAACGTCAGATTGAGGTCCATCAGCTTGAAGGCATCTGCCGAGGCCTGGTCTGCCATGTCTGTTCCGCCCCAACTGAATGTACCGTTCTCGAATCCAATAATAGCTTGGCCATCTTCGTCCTTCTTCTGGGTCACGAGTTGCGAGTACTTGTCCGTCTCAGGCTCGGACAGATATTCCTCGATACGATCAACCGAAACCTTGGATTCTTGGACGTGGGCAACCATATCTGCGAGCTGGTCCAGCGGGATCCTCAGAATTTGGAAAAGCGAGAGGGCGGTGAATGCGACAGATGGAATGAGCGCCTTATGTTCAACGTTCGTGTACACGAGGAATGACAAGAACGTGATTAAGACTGGCGAGCCCGACCATATCGTAGCTGCTACCGCCCACAGAATGTATCTCCGTCGCAGATGCTTGAGCTCAATGTACCGCTTTTCGTTGACCAGACCAATGAAGCGTTGCTCCCAAGCAAAGAACTTGATAATCCGGATGTTGGTGAGGACTTCGTTGGTCGTGTGGATGCGGGCATCGGTGGCCGCGAGAATGAGTTTCTGGATCTTGGAGAACTGTCGCGCAACATACATGTTGATTGGGAGCAAGAAAACCATCATGCCAATACCAGCAATCGAGCTGTAACCCAAGATGCGGTAGAGCAAGAAGACAGCCACGACAACTTGGACTGGGGTGTTCGCCCAGAGGAAGTGTAGATAAGCGCAGATCTCGCTGACTTTGAAAGCGTCGACAGCCATAAGGTTGATGATAGCGCCGGTGGTGACCTGGGCGTCGGATTCGGGTTTCGATGTTTCGTCTTCTTTCGAGGTTCCAGTCGCCTTCTTCTTCTTGCCAAAGGTAAA